GTCAAGCAACTGAAGCAGAGCTATGATAAACGACGGTTTATCATAAGCACTTTATCAATCATTTTTACAGTTGGCATTCAGAAGGAACATAGAAACGTCATCTGACTCGCATCTAGCAGCTAACTGTGTCTGGAAAAATAAAGGCATTTATTTTCATAAAGCGCATGGATATGAATGCTTCTGAGTGTTCTGATTGGCTGGAGTAGACATCTCACTTCAGTGCGTTCTAAGCGTTAACACCTTTTCCGGCAATTTTCCTTCTCCGTTTACACAGCACAGCATTCCGGCAAATTACCAAAAATATTACAACTTCTCTTTCTGGAAAATTGCCGTAACAAATTTACCGTTATTTTCAAATTCACACGTAATTTTCCGGAAAGGTCTTTGTGTGAAAGTGGCTAAAGTCTTCATTTTATTCGCTTGTTTTTTCACCCCCTGATAAACTGTGTAACATTGTTTTGTTCAATAAAATCACCTACCTGCACTGAGCACTTCTGTGAAAGTGATACAGCACATACCAATATAAAAGAAAAGGTCTCTCAGCCAAATATGATGAGAGCTTGCATGTTGCAGAGAACCGCTTTGTAGTGCAGCATATTCCCCAACCATCATTTTTTCTGAAATTTTCAAGATCCTTAACTTTGGATTCATTTGTAAGCTGCAAGGATGTTATCCGCCATCTTGCTACTTAATGACAGACTTGTTCATGTTAAACTTGAGTCTGTTGTTTTTGCCATCGTAGAACATTTTGATTCAGAATTATAAAGTTGTGTGTTTTCAAAAATAGAAAAAATGGGGTGTATTCTGAAAAAAAAAAAAACTACTCATAATAATACAGTGTGTAGACAAAGTGTCTCAACTAGGGCCGCACAATATTGGAGAAATCCAACATTAAAATATTTATTTTCTGCAATATGTATTGTGAGATGAATATAATTTCACCAAATGAACCGAATAGCTCTATTTGGAAAGATTTTGTTCATTTAGATATATTGGGATGATCAAGTCTGTTTCTATCCAGTGCATTTGCATAAATCATGATATATTACAAGCATATATAAGTACAGCAGAGCAAAGATAAAAGTGATATAAATAGTGCTTTGTTTTTTTTGGAGGGTCTAGCTATATTCAGGAACAGAAATTGAATCAAATATAAAATAACCTTCATCATTTGTAAAAATGTTAAAGATTTTAAAATAATATCTTTATCCTTTAATCTTTAATAAAACTTGAATCCTGCGATGTGACTATTGCGAATACACGGATTGCTATATTGATGCTCATACGATATACTGTTCAGCCCTAGTCTGAATGCATGGAAGTTTCTTGAATGCATGTTATTACCAGGTAGACATAAGCAGCATAAAAGGTTTGTCCTAATTTGTTTTAACAAATGTTTTTATTTTCTAGGAGCTTCGCACCAACAACCCCCGTTATAACAAAGGCACCTACAATGACTTCAGCTACGTAACAAACAACAATCAAGAAGGCATAAGCATGAGGAAAGGAGAGCACTTGGGCGAGTTCAACTTGGGCTCCACTATAGTACTGTTATTCGAAGCTCCACGGGATTTTACTTTTAACTTGCAAGCGGGCCAGAAGATCCGTTTCGGAGAGGCGCTTGGGACAATGTAACACCGACAAGGAAACGGAGTCTAATGGTGGACACGCTGCGTGCTAATGCATTCAGGATCTCAAAAACTAATACACTCATATTTGCAGAGAATGTACTCTGTTTAAACTGAGATACATGTGTGTTCATGTGTACTCACTCAAACACCACTGTTGCATTATTGCTATTGGGTTGTTAAGGGGGTTTGATGTAAAATATGTTTAAGGTGAAACTTAGACCTCGGAATGCCATCCATTTTGTTGGTTTTTTGTTTTTTTTTGGGCTCTAAATTATTTTTATATTTTATTTTGGTAAAACGGTTTTGTTTTTTTGTATTTTGCCCATTTTGCCTTGGCTGGAGTCAACCGTGTTGCAGGGTTTGAAGAGTTCAGGATTTTTGCAGCTAACTTTGCAAGCATGGGAATGTATAAAAGACGATTGCTGTTTGGTTCCTTCATATTCACCAAACGCTTATCTTATTTACCATCTCTCCGTCCAACTTTTGATCTATATAAAGGTGCAAGCCATTTCGACAGTAAATTTGTGGCCACTTTACATTCTGAGGAAGAGCTTCAGAAAAGACAGGCAACATATATCACTGCCGTTGTTCTCTGGCGTATCTATGCCTTTGCTTGTTGGTCTAGCGATTAGTTGGGGTGATTAATGTTAACTATTATGCTGTCTCAACTTGATTAGTGCCAAAAATCAAGATATATTTTTACTAACTCACTTTTGTTTTTGGCCCTTTTGATATGAATCAGTGTTGTTGTGATCTTATGGCTCACGTTTTACATTCTTGGACTTTTTTCTTTGATTAACCAGCACCTGGCAAGTTCAACAGACTCTACATCCTGAGCTTGTGAAGACCCTTCAGACTCCCCTGATCTAGACCACACGTATGAAGAAAAGGGGAATGACTCTGGAAACGTTTTGAATGTGTTAAAAACCAAACACTGGGCTTTTCTGTTGCACCATGCCACACTCTTGTGGGAATTCTTTTGAAGAAAAGTCTTATTAATTCAATTTATGTAACATAGACAATAATTACTAGTATAAAGAGCAAGAAACATGTCTAATAAATTTTGAAGTTTATTTAAAATGTGTTGTATTAATTGTGGTATTGGTTTGACAATTTGACATCATTTGTTATTGTTATTTATTTTTGTTAAGGGCTGAATCCTCTTGACTAGGAAAGATAATTCATAGTGGCTTCATATTAGCTTACCTTTTCGTACACAACTCTGTTGAAAGAAAGCTCAAGCAAAAAGGTGGACTGTTAATATACACAGCTTGTAGTGAATTATAATGCGATTCTCTGGAAAGTTGTAGCCCATCTATACATGAGGAATAATGAGAAATCTGACCGTGGTATTTAAGGAAAGTCATTCGGCATTACATAAGGCTGATTAATAATGAACAAAATCTCAACGGAATACGGATTAAAAATGCCTGAGCTGCTTTGAAAACGTTCTATCAGAAGCCAAATGAAGCAGTCATGTTGTACTTGATCTATTTAAAACACGTTTTTCAGAAGGCATTGTTTTATTAAGGCCTATTTTAAAAATGTCATCCGAGTGACTATGAGAAAATAGTTGCTGCTAAAAAGTCATCACCGGGTTTTTCCTGGCTCAAAATGAGGGTGTCCTCATGAAAATCTTGATATTGAAGCAATCACATCTTGCATGATTCTTGTAAGGCTGACATTAAATCTAGTTAAATACATGAGTTTGAGCAGCATTACTCGGCTTTTGTTGGTCATGGCTGCCTACATTTTAGTCAAAAGGAGGTGGCCCTCTTTGTTGGTAATTCTCTATGCAGGAAATAACCCTACGGTGGCTGCTTAGTTGGTCATTCTCTATACCCGAAAAAAACCTGTATAATAAATCAATTAGCCTACCTACTACTTCATTTCAAGTCAGGACATCTTGTAAACTTACAACTCAAGCGCACCCTCCTGTTCTCTTCTAGAAGTTTCCCGGTTCTTAAAAATCATTAAGACTCCTTTGTGGGCTGTAATCAGCTGCAACCCTTTCATGAGTCCAACATCCAGTGCAAGAGAAAACACAATCTCACGTAAATGAAGTCATCTTTCGCCACTGTATTGTTTTTAAATGGAGAAAACCTTTTTCTTGAAACAAAAATTACCAATAAAAAGGTGTGACACACTAAAAAACGGCCCAAATAAAAATAAATTTTAAAGTTGGCTATTGCAATTATCCATGAATTTTCAAATGTACTTTTTACAAGAGAGCTAAGGCAAGGCTCTACATTACTATTATCATTATTATTATCGTTTACATTTTTTTTTTATTATTATTCAACTGACCAGTCTGTTATTTGCCAAATAAATGACACAAGGCTACTAAAAAAAAAACTTTAACAGAGTCCTGTTTTTTAAATAAAATAATAAAATACGCATTTATCCTTATTTCTTTATTCTAAATCTTACATCAAGAAGTGTAGTTATGATGACCATCCGACAAGCTAATTTAGCTAAAATAGTGCTTAAAATGTCATTAAAATGCAGTATTTTAATCTCACATTTAAATAGAAAATATAACCGCAAGCAGGTCTACTTTTTGAAAAAAATAAATAAAAAGAACTACCCCATTCACCAGGCTGGCTACGGGCCTAACATCAATAATTCTCTTGTGAAAGTGAAACTTTTCTTTCACTCCTACAATTAGGTTTCTGAAGCAGAAGCGCACTCCCCCTATTGGCGCTACAGTGTGTAGTAGCCTATTTGCTATTTCTGAGTAGGTTATCCCGTTCTTAAGAACATCCTTTTCCTAAGTTTGTCCAAGTTAAGACCAACATTTTCCCATAATATGAATAAAGTCAGATATTTACATTATATTTTTTATATTTATTATATTATATTATATTTATGACTGTGTAGATTTACTGATATTTTAGTCGTATAATAGGCTACTGATAACCTGCCTTACCCAAACTGCAGCTATTGCCCTCATTTTAAATCAGTATAACAATGATAGTAGTTACTATTGCATACACTCACACAAAAGAAATAAATTAGACAAAAGCTTCTGAAATGAACTTGAATGAAATACCATATTAAAATACTTTTACATGAAGTTACAGTGTTTCATCTGAATCCATCATCAGCCATTTAGATTTTAAATGCAAAGATACTCATGCTATACCTTTTCAAACATTTGGCAGATATCACATTTTACATAACTCTGGCAAGATTCTTTAAAAATAGTTACTATTCACCACAATTTAATTTCTTTGAGATTTTTTTAGTCTCATATACTTATAATAATTTAAATAAGCTATTTGTTACACAATCTGTGAATAACATTTGAAATAGTCATTTATTCCTGTCATTTGGAAATGACTTCTTTTAAGCATGGATATTTTGAAAGAAATATCCATGTAGTCACTCTCCAAATATTCTGTTTTGTAACTGTGTCTTATCTTATTGTAAGTTGTCCCTGTACTAGGCGCCTTGACGTTGCGCCTTGACATTCTTGAGCACTGGATAAAATTGTTCTGCCTAACTGAGCTGAATATTTGCACGTATTCATAGCCCATGTAACCCTGAGTATGATGTATAAAAGCTGGGAATACCCCAGACTTCTTCAGAAGAGAGCAATAAACTGTTGGATTCACATCTCTCAGTTGTTGTTGCCTTCCTGGAGCTCCAGCTTACTGAGGAAACACACAGACGATCTGCAATTTATCCCAACAACTTGGTGACCCCCGACGTGATGAAGCTGATCAGGTAAGACATGAATTTGGTTTTGACTACCTGATTAGTTTCATCACTGAACTGAGTGTTCAGGAAGCTGGCAAGACATGAATTTGGTTTGACTGCCTGATAAGCTTCATTACTGAACTGAGTAATCCTTGGCTGGGATTTTCCCTGAAAAGCCAAGAAGAGCGCGCTATACAAAAGTAAAACGATCATTCTGTGTGTTTTCTAGTAAGTATTTACTAACATGGGTGGTTCATACCCCAAGCCTGAGATAGGGGAAGGCCCTAAAGATTGGATGTATCGATGTGGGTGGGGATATTACACTAATCCATGGTTAGATAATCTAGCAGGGTGGACTGAGGCACAAGCGATGCGTCCCTACCCTAGAGATGGGTCATTTGACCCCCATGTGCTAAAACGGGCTCACAAATTAATTTATGAAAGTGAAGGAGATCCCGAATGGGACCATGATTATATGAAAAAGGGTTATGAAATCTGGATGAAGATGATGAGTGTGTGGAATGATAAACAAAATATTAACCTACCAAAAGAGGTAAAGAAATTAATTCCGAAGCCTCTTAAAGGATCAGCATCAAAGATTGAGGTAAAAAGAAAGGAGACACCCAAAGTGCCTCCAGCCCCTGTTGTTACTGTTCCCTCAGTTACAGTTACTGTTCCTACTCCTACCCTCTCCTCCCCCATTCCTGATGAGGGGCAAGGAAAGGCACATCAGAGGATGCCTCTGTATCCTGTACAAGAATTAGAGGGGCTTCGCACAGAGAAACCAGACCAAGGGGATAATCAGGCTTTCCTATGGGTCTCAAAGAAAGGGGGACATGCCGAAGTAACCCCTCCCTCCGCAACACAGCTCAAGGATGTCATTTCACTGCTTCCTGATATGAGCAGGCCAGTAGAATTTGTAGAAACTATGATACGTGTCTCTAGAAATGCACAGCTTACAGGAGCTGATTATAAATTTATATTGATGAACAAAATGGGGTCTCAATATGATGAGACAGCCCTCATTGATGCTGTTCCTTGCTTGTGCTCTAAAAATGATGAGGTTAAACTACAACCCCAGCAAATGATACGTAGAGTAAAAATTAAAGAAGGGGATTATGAGGAACAAGAATACACAAAAGATGTACCGTACTTTTACTGGCGGGATGAACAGGGTGCTATAGATATCCTGAAGCGACAGCTTACTGCTTACCTTGTGGACACTCGTTGTGCTCATAGAGATTTGTCACACGTGACCAGCTGTAAGCAGGAAAAGAAAGAGACAGTTTCTGCCTTCCTCCAGCGTTTTTCCAATGCTTGGATACATCTGGGAGGATTTGATCTCCCTGAAAGGCAGCCACAACCACTGTTTATTTCCACTTTTATTAGTAACTGTACTCCAGATGTTCAGAAGATACTTAAATTTCAATTATCTGATCGATCTCAAATGACTCCAGAACAGCTCAAGCAAAGGCTTCGAACGATGACTGGCGATGGTCTGTTCGATCAAACTTTGAATGTCGCCCTCCTACAAATGGGAGGTGCGCAGCAGGGTGGGTTCCAAGGCTCTAGGCCGGCACCTAATGGGGGGGCACGACCCCGAAGGGAGGGAAAGTGTCATTACTGTGGAAAACAGGGTCATTGGGCCCGAGAATGTAGAAAGAAGCAATCTAATAAGCAGAAAGGAGCCTCCCCTTACCAACAGTGTAATTTTTCCCCAACCCAGGTACCCAATCAAGGGACACAGGGTCCACAATAGGGGTCCCCACAGAGTCCTGAACCCCCAAACGCAACAATGCTCTCTACTTCTATTATCTCTGTGAAGGGCCAAGAACCAGCCACCCTTCCGGTTGAGGTGCAGGGCAAAATGTATACATTTCTTTTGGACTCTGGGGCAACTCGTTCGTCGTTTGGGGGACAGTATGAGGGTCCTATTTGTGCTTCAACTGTGGATTCTGTGGGAATAGATGGGGTCCCTTTTAAAACTTCTCTGACCCCTCCCCTGCTTGTAAAGGTTGGAAACACAAGGACTATGGTACAGTTTGCATTTATGCCTTCGTGTTCATATAACTTAATGGGACGTGACCTTATGTCCGCATTAGGTGTCACTATGACCTTTAAACATGACCAGCTGGTGGTACACACAACAGATAGTGCTGAGCCCTGTCTGGGCCCACTCAATGGCCTGCCCTTCTTTCTGCATGACAACTTAACTGTTGCAGACCAAGAAGCACTTTCTAGTTTACCTCCTCATCTATGGGCAACCCATAAGGATGACACTGGTCTGGTGGTATGTCCTCCATACGAAGCCACTTTAAAACATAATGTCCCCGTCAGCATAAAACAGTATCCACTAGGTGAGGAAAAGGCTTTGGCCATTGATTCAATAATCGCCTCCTTTTTGAAACAAGGGGTCCTCAGACCCTGTCAAAGCCCTTACAATACCCCTGTTAACCCCGTTCCGAAACCAAATGGTTCTTGGCGGTTCACACAAGATTTACGAAAAATCAATGAGGCCGTAATACCAATAACGCCTGTTGTGCCCGATGTACCAACCATCATGTCTAGTATCAATTGTACACATGATACTTTTTCTGTTGTTGACCTCTGTTCTGCCTTTTTCAGCATTCCTGTAGAAGAGCAGACCCAACCTCTTTTTGCTTTCACCCACAGAGGAATCCAATACACCTGGACCAGGTTACCCCAGGGGTATGTCGACAGTCCAGCCTACTTTTCTGCAGTAGTACATGATTGTTTACAATCATTAAATATGCCTGAAGGGGCTGCTGTCCACCAATATGCTGATGACCTCTTAGTCACAGCACAAAACTATGATACGTGCAAGCATGCAACCATGCTTCTGCTAAATCATCTGGCACACTGTGGGTTTCGAGTTTCCAAAGAGAAGCTACAATTTTGCCAAGACAAGGTAATATATTTAGGTCATCATTTGTCAAAAGGCCAGAGATCATTGACAACAGACCGTATTACATCTATTGCCACACACCCTATCCCCAAAACAAGACAGCAACTACTGTCATTTCTGGGTTTGGTCAATTATTGTAGGCAATGGATCCCTGATTGTTCGCATTATGATCACATTCTCCGCTCATGTGTAGAGCACAAAGAACCACTAACCTCGCCCGTCATTTGGACAGATGAGGCTCGGGCAGCTTTTCATGCTCTAAAGAAGGCTATTTGTTCTGTCCCAGCTTTAGGCTTACCAAATTATGACCTTCCTTTCCATTTGTATGTCCATAATGACGACAGAACCATTGCAGGAGTGTTGGCCCAGCAACACGGGGGTGGCATGAGACCTGTCGCCTACCTGTCAAAGACTTTAGATATAGTGGCTCGGGGCCTCCCCAGATGCTTACAAGCTATTGCTGCCTGTGCAGTCATGGTACAGGATGCAGAGAAAATTGTTCTCTCGCATCCTCTGATTTTGCATTCACCACATCAGGTCACGCATGTATTGAATAACCTCAATACACAGCATTTATCGGCCCAGAGAAGGGCTGGTTATGAACACGTTTTGACTTCTACTGCCAATCTGACTGTGAAAAGCCTGACTGGCCATAGTCATATTGCCGCTGCCCTCCATCACATGTTATCACCATTTGATGATGAACTGTTGGTTGAACAACATGACTGTTTGGAGGAAATCAATGCTGTCTGCTCCATAAGATCTGATTTGGCTGAAAGACCACTACAACATGGAGAAGTCATTTTTGTAGATGGCTCTTGTTCAAAGCCACAAGATGGCGTCTACCTCTGTGGTTATGCTGTGTGTGCACTGCCTGATCAAGTTATAGAAGCCCGCCCTCTACCTTTTAAGTCCGCACAAGCGGCTGAACTGTATGCCCTTACTCGAGCCTGCATATTATATGCTGACAAACCAGTTACAATCTACACAGACTCTAGATATGCCTTTGGTGTGGCACATGATTTTGGCGCCATCTGGCAATCTAGGGGATTTATTGCCGCTGACGGTAGACCAGTGTCCCATCATACCCTCATAACTGATTTAATAACGGCCTGCCATCTTCCCTCGCAACTGGCCATTGTTAAAACTCAGGGCCATTCGAAGGAACACACTGATGAAGCCAAAGGAAACGCTTTGGCTGACCGACATGCTAAATTAGCAGCACAACAGCCTTTGCCTGAGGACTCTATGCACGTTTCCTTGTTGTCTACAACCTCTGCTTCGGGGATGCTCCCTGACATTGATTTGGCTATGTTACAAGCATCAGCCACTGACGAGGATAAGTCCTTCTGGGACGCCTTTTCTTCCACGTTTGATGAAAAGATGGGTCTATGGCACGACAACACTGGTCGCCTATGTCTCCCACATGTGGCACTGTCATTCCTCGTCCACGAATTTCATGGTGTCACTCATCGTGGACGAAGAGGGGTACATGAAACAATGCGATCTTTGTTTTGTGTCCCAAAATTAGAAACCACCATTAATAACATACTTGACAAATGCCTTATATGCGCTCAATATAATGTATCAAAGCCTGTGGCACAGCACCAACATTTACCAAGACCGATCACACCTTTTTCTGAATGGCAAGTAGATTTTACGCATATGCCCAAGAGGGGACCGTTTAAGTATCTACTGGTTTGCGTGGATAAATTTTCAAAATGGGTAGAAGCTTTTCCTTGCTCAAGGGAAAATGCAAAGGTGGTAACACAGAAATTGATCTCTGAAATTATACCTAGATATGGGATCCCACAAAGTATCGATTCAGATAAAGGAACACCTTTTACATCAAAGGTAACGCAACAATTGGCAACTGAATTAAATATAAATTGGCGTTTCCACATACCCTATCATCCACAATCATCTGGATTTGTGGAGCGAACTAACAGAACCTTGAAAGGAAAGATAAAGAAGGCCTTAAGACAACACGGTCATAAAGATTGGATAAAAATTTTACCAATAGTACTAGCAGATTTGAGAATGACACCACAAGCAAATTTGGATTCTTTATCACCATATGAGGTGGTCATGGGAAGACCTTTCCCTATCCCATGGCAAGGGGGAATTATGGGAGTGGGTATTGAGCTTTCTAACCACATATCAGAATTCTCAGCGGCCCTAATTCAGAAACTTAATCAGTATTGGGAAAGGGTAACAAAGAAACACCCTGAAATTCCACTTGAGGCAGCACACCCTTTCCAGATAGGGGACAAGGTGCTAATAAAAGATATAAAACCCCAAAAAGATTTAACTGACCCCAAATACGAAGGGCCAGCTGAGGTTCTGGCTGTTACACGCACTGCTGTATTAACTGATCTTTTTCCACAGTGGATCCATGGCACCAGAGTGAAACCATTGAAGTAAATGTCTATGATATGATATTAATCGTTTTTGTTTTGCAGACTACTTCTACTGATAACCCTACTGGGACTGACACAGGCCCACACTGAAGTACACAACTTATTCTGGCAGTATGCTAACTGGACTGCACGACAGACAACCAATGAGTCATGTGTTGTCTGCCAAGAAGTGTTCTCCTCTGCTGTGACTATATCCTTGAAACCTTTGCCTTTTACATGTACTAAACTTGCTTTTTGTACAAATGCTTTGGGAGATATTTATGAGTGGCGCCCCACATGTGTTTCTAACAAGAAAACATGGGAGCCTCTTTGCAAATCAACTAGCAGAAAGAATCATTCTGTAGTAATACCTACACCTAGAACTATGGGTTTGAATATTTTGTTGACGAAACCCCAGGGGTTCACTTTTTCTTTTTGCTTTAATGGGACAAATGGAGGTAATGTATCCACCTTAAGAGCTAAAGATTGTAATATAGTAATTGGCGAGAGGGATCGATTTTCAGGGGTATATTTACCGTGGCGAAAGAATAAAAAATATAGTTCTCTACTAAGTGTTTGTCCACGTTACATCCCAGGCACCTGTGAACTGAACAAACTTAAATGTGCTAATATCACAAATGAGACAGCTGTCACGGCATGTTACAACCTGAACAACACATACTGTCAACGCAGCAACGTAACTTGTGTCCCCACTTGGCCGAGACAGGATGCGGTCCTGGCCGATGACTGGTACTGGTATTGTGGGGGAGAAACCATCTTCAACACTTACCCCACCAATTGGACTGGTCTTTGTACTGTGATCCAATTACAACACATGGTCACTGTCATGCATCTTGCCAGACAATCCAAAAGGGAACGGAGGTCAGTTCCCCAGGACGACGTACCCGACGAACACCGTATGAGATCACACTGGACTAGATTCTGGGAGGCTATGATTCCCAGTTTTGGCGTAGCAGATGCCTTAAAACAGCAAGAGATCATGCATTATAGACTGGCCTCTTTTATAAACAGTACCACGGATGCCATTTCTGGACTAAGAGAGGAGATGAGAGCTCTGAGACTAATGACTATGCAAAACAGACTGGCTCTGGACATGCTCTTAGCGGAAAGGGGCGGGGTCTGCTCCCTGGTCGGAGAGAGCCAATGCTGCACTTACGTTCCCGCGGATGATGAGGATCTTGGACGAGTAGGACAAGCTGTAAAGGCGATGAAAAGGATATCATCACAGGTGTATGAGGATGAGATGAAGGAAAGAAATTTTAATTGGGGATGGGGATTTTTAGAAAGCCTGTTTGGATCATTGGCTCCATATGTCTCAATGGTAGTACCGGTACTTATTATTTTCTTATGTGTATGTATTTTTGGTCCATGTCTTCTGAGATGTTTTATGGAACGAATGTATAGGATGGTTAATGCCTTAGGTAAAGGGTTATGAACATTTAGCTATGAATGGAACTGAGGGTAACCATTTAACAAATAGAGTTTATGAGAATATGGTATGATCCAGGCTCTTGTAAGAAACTGAGCCTGGAAGAGGGGATTGAAAGAAATATCCATGTAGTCACTCTCCAAATATTCTGTTTTGTAACTGTGTCTTATCTTATTGTAAGTTGTCCCTGTACTAGGCGCCTTGACGTTGCGCCTTGACATTCTTGAGCACTGGATAAAATTGTTCTGCCTAACTGAGCTGAATATTTGCACGTATTCATAGCCCATGTAACCCTGAGTATGATGTATAAAAGCTGGGAATACCCCAGACTTCTTCAGAAGAGAGCAATAAACTGTTGGATTCACATCTCTCAGTTGTTGTTGCCTTCCTGGAGCTCCAGCTTACTGAGGAAACACACAGACGATCTGCAATTTATCCCAACATCCAGTGTTTTGTGTCACATGATCCCTCTAAATACGTCCGCAGAGGTTGATCCTTCTCAAGAAACATGTTGAAAACAGTTACTGTGCACTGGAAAGCAAGATAGTACAGTTCAAGTAGCATTAAAAAATATATATGAATTAATCAAAGCTACATAAAATTGATTGAAAATGACAAAGACATTTATAAAGTTACCTATAAATGTACTTTTTATAGTAACTTTCATTAATAGAAAAGTAAAACGCATTTTGGTTTTAATAAAAATATTTAAGTCTATTTCACTTTTTTTGTGAAATCAAGAGTGCTAATAGCTAATCATCACATCATCATAATTCATTCATTTTCTTGTCGGCTTAGTCCCTTTATTAATCCAGGGTCGCCACAGCGGAATGAACCTCCAACTTATCCAGCACATTTTACATAGCGGATGCCCTTCCAGCCACAACCCATCTCTGGGAAACATAATAATAATAATAATAATAATAATAATACATTTTATTTAAAGACGCCTTTCTGGCAACTCAAGGACATCATACAATAAAACAAGAGCAATAAAACAACAAGATAAATATTATAAAAATATGCACAGCAATATTGCAGGTACAATTAAATATTAAAAGTCATTTTAAATACATGGGTTTTGAGTTTTGATTTAAATAATGTGAGAGAGTCTATGTTTCTGATGGCAGGTGAGTTCCAAAGTCGGGGAGCAGAGCGGCTGAATGCTCTACTCCCCATGGACGATAGACGAGCAGAGGGAACAGACAAGTGGAGGAAGATCTCAGGGTGCGAGAGGAAGCAGCAATGTGGATGACGGCTGCCAAATATGGAGGGGCGGGATTGTTGATGGCTTTGAATGTTAACATCAACATTTCAAAATCATTTTGAAAACGAATTGGTAACCAGTAAAGCTGCTGCAGGACAGGGGGAGATGTGATGGGAAGAAGGGGTTGATGATAGTGAGTTCTGGACCAACTGAAGCTTACGGAGGGTTTTATGAGTGAGACCAAAGAGAAGGATCTTGTGACACTGAAGACTAGAGCAACCCTGTTCCTGAATGTACACCAAACAGTGCACTTTTTCAACCTCTTCCTAATCAAACAGACCTGAATCAACTCATCAGAACATTAGAAGAGACTCTGAAACCTGAGATGAAATGAACAAAATATGTACTGTTGATGTGTCTCAAGGAACAGGGTTGGAAAAGACTGGACTAGAGTAATTCCAGTAATCAATTTCACATTTAAATATATCTTATCATAAACATCAGCTTTTTTCAAATTTAATTCATATTTCACAACATTACAGTTCTTAATGTATTTTGGATTTTTTTAATCCACCCTTTAGTGAAGTGAGATGAAACTTCTGTCAAAAAACTTTAATTTTTGGTTATGTTCTGACAGTTACTCTATAAATTAATATAATACCATTTTTACTTTTACGGACAGTGATGTGAAAATGTTTTATGTTCATTTTGCATTTTTATTTTTAAGAGTAAGAGTCCTAAAATTGTAATATTTTACTTTAAAAGTACTTTTACCCAACACTGGTTTCAAATGGACAAAGTTATATGTCAACAACCCTCAATCTGTATGAACCAAGCATGGGTCGGTACATGATTCAGACAGCATGATAACCTTGGATAACCTTAAAATATTTTTGTTTTAGTTTCACAGTAGTGATCACTGCTCTAAAATATGTTCTTTATTAAATGTCTGGGTAAAAAAACGAAAACTTTTTGCCCTTTAAATCCAACATATTTTATTTTGAGAAACATTTAAGATATTTTGGAGCAGTAAACATGTCAGGCTAAATAATTCAGACATATCATTGACTTCTGCTGTCTTCATTAGTTTCAAAAACACAAATGTCTTTACAATTTAAAATGGCAACTTTGGATATGTTTTCTGCTGGAGGTACTGTAGTTGGCAGTTTTATAACCTTGAATTTTCCAAACTGTGGTATACCTTGACAATGGTTATCGCCCCATGCCTATACACAGTATACTGTAAAACCCAACAGTCAATTTTATCAAATTAAATGTGTAGTTAACTCAAAATTTATTGAAAGTTAATTATACTCAACTGAAAAGAGTTTTAAAGTCAATGTTGAAGGTAATGAGGTAATTAAATACCTCATTACTTCAACTTAAATGGAGTAAGTTCACAGTACTCATATAGATTAGTTTAACTCAAATGGTTTGTAGTAATTAGTTTCCTCAAATGGTTTGAGTTCCCTTAACTTATCTGGTTTTACAGTACTCAGCTGGTTTGAGTTCTCTTCATTTATTGGGTTTTACTGTGCTCAAATTGCTTCATTTACTCAAATGGAGTAAGTTCACAGTACTCATTAGGATTCGTTTTTAAACCGAAATGGTTAGTTGCAATAGAATTCCTCAAATGGTTTGAGCTACCTGAACTTATTGGGTTTTACAGTGTATTAAATAAGCTTATTACTAGGCCCACACGGAATTTGCGCAGATTTTTAGCCCATCATTGATTGTTTATTTACTTGTGTAAATTCATATTTATTCAGTTTTTAAATAAATTTCAGTAATATTGTCTAATATGAAAATATTTATGATTTATTTACAATGCAGTTTGTACAGCCATATTTTATGTCTTTTAGTAAATATATTATATGAAAGAATTTGCTTTGTTTACTAAATTAAGAGGATCTAGCTGGATTTGCATTGTAAACATTAAATACAAGTTTAAAAAGTATTACTTTTTATCTCCTATAAGGTATTAGTTATGATACTCCCAAAATAATTCTGCACAAATCTGCAGATTTTTACCAGAATTCTGCAATCCATTTTAAATGTTGACTTCTGTACCATCCTGCAGATTCCAAGTAACAAAGTCCCTGTACACCTGTAAAGCAGCTGATCTAAACTCCACGTGTCTTGATCTGTAATTCTAGGAACCTGCTCTCAGGGCACCACGTCCCAAACCGGTTGAACCGCTAATTCACAGCCTCCACTCAGCTACAAAGAATTTGCTGAAAAAGAGTCACCTTGCTGAAAATGCCTAGTAAAATGAACTGAAGGACTTTTATATTTACGTTTATAGTGTCGGAAGTGATTTTATATATCAAAAAATAGATTGACCATTGTGCCAAGTAACATATACAGAAATCCAAACAAACATGTGCATACTTTCAAAAGTCAGGCTCACAAGTGTCCTTGCCCCATTGTTTTAAATGCAACTACCATAATATTGCTCATCCATAAAATAATATTAGTACTATACATGTTTAATGTTCCACTCAGCAGTCTCTTAAACAATCCAAGACACGAGGTAGGTGTCAGCGGAATGTCTACAGCAACCAGAAAAGCTTGTTCAATAGAAACTCAGATGGCACAACACTCATTCTCAAGGACAAGTTGACACTGTCCCATTGTTTATCCTTCTGAGCAAGATTGAGGGCTCTTCCTCGAGTTTCACTGACCTGCGTCTGATGGAACGTCAGGGTGTGGCTCCATAAACCGAATCAAAACTCAGGCGATCCTGGCGGGACATTTTGACAAGAGAACTCACCTTACTTAAAACCCTGTTGGGCGTCATTTTATAGAAACACTCCATTAACAATCGATTGAAATCAAGACTTTAAAGTAACTGTGCAAGAACAATGCAGGGGAATATCGAAGTACGCCATTGTATGAGGCGCACAAAGGTAAATCTGCTTCAAAGTGTCTCGATAAGATCCAACTGTGCCAATTTAACAAAGCAAATATTTGACATGGTGATCCAAAAGTAAATATTTATTATTAAAATAGGTTTCAGTGCAGTCAGCTCTTGTTTTTTGTTCAAACCACGTAACTCCAGGATTACATAATCCAGTCACTTTAGAATTGTTCCAAAATCAATAGCAAAACCCACTGGGAAATCTGCTCTCACTTCCTTCTCCGGCAGCGGCAGCAGCAGGCATAACAGCGTCCCACCTGCTCCTCGCTCTCCTTCACGGTGTAACCTGGCTGGTTGTTGTATGCAGAGGGGTTCTGGCCATTCCTGGCCTCTCCATAAACTGGCACACTAGAGGCGTTGCTCTCCCCTGGGGTTTTGAAGCTGCTATAGGGGTTTAAGGAAGAGTTGTGGTTTTTGTAGGTGCTCTCTAAAGCCATCGGGTTGATGATGATGGTGCTGGAGTCAGGCTGATCCCGCAGCTTGGCACGAGGGATGGTGACATCCCCGTAGGGGTTCTCAAGTGAGATATTCATGGTGTCAGGCTGGGGATGCGAGCCAAAAATTGAACAATCGAGAGCCTTGGTTTCTGTTTAAGTCTGTTAGAATTTTCGAAACATAACGGCTTCCAAATATCAGGTTCTTCTTGAATGTTCCTGAGGTACACAAATAAAGAAGTTACTTAACAAGACATCTTGGATAAAATACTACATTTTTCAATTATTATATCTGGTTGTATCCATCTTCTGCCACATTAAATGTTTGAGTCGATTTCTGATTGGTTTAAAAATTAAGTGTTTATTTTGATTCCAATTGTATTTTTTCATTTGGTCATTGCCATATTTGCCTTTACAGAAAGAAGTATTGCATTTTTTCCACATATAATTGTCAAATCCATTTTAAAATCAAAATCTCTGTTTCACATCTGCTTTTAGATAAAGTGTTTGTTGCAGTTTTATTTGCTTTTGCTATCAAAATTTCAAGAATGGAAAGTTTGATAACAGTCTTCATATCTTACTGGACCTGGATTCTGCTCATTTTTGCTACATTTATATGGATTGAATTTAAACAAATAAATTAAAATTAAACATAACTAAGTAGAAGATGTTTGTTTAAATCTATATGAACTATTTGCATTCATTTATCTTAAAAGAATTAGTAAATTCAGTGAATATTTTTTTTCAGTGTGGTTTCTTAAAAATCTATCGAGTAAAAGAGCACAATATGAAGCATATACAAAAGCAATCTGAAGTTGTTTTTAACAATGCTTGAACAGTAACAGAAAGTCATTAATACTTTTTAGAATTAAACAAAAAACATGACAATCAATTTACATACATTCACAATTTTTTCTTCATTATTAATAATAATAGAACACATAAATAAGTCAAACAACAAATATTTACTAAAATAAATGATAAAGAAAAATATGTAGCAGTTCTTAAAATATGAAAACAAAATCCTCTAATGATGAATATAAAGTTCTTGCTTTTTGGCTTTTCATCTCTTTTAATGTCTTCAAATATATCACAAATTCTTCTTTAATCACCACTAGTCTTTGGGGAATTTTGAAAAATTAACATTTATGAATACAAAATTTTAATAAAAACAATAAATTATTCATTATATAAGATATCTTTTTAATAACTTCCCATGAGAAGATAAGTCTATATATATTTTCTGTTGTATCCAAACTAATACTTAGTCGCAAAATGTTTATACCAAACAACACTAGAAAAACAAGTGTTCAATTGGTCCAAAACCTAAATTACAAAACTGGCATACATTTGAGATAACGGAAATTGAATTTTAACCTCAGAAATTCTTTTGCAGAATAAATTTGATTCATAATTTTAAAGTGCATTTCTTTACATTTAGGATTAACAGGATGTGAAAAAAAACGTTTTCTAATAACATACACATTTTTCTCATCCTAATGAGACAATATGAAGAGTTTAGATGCAAAAACCTCTAAATTCCATCTAAAATTTTCCTCTAAAATGCATATTTTTATCAGCCTCCTGTGTGTATGTTTAATAATATCACTTTTATGGCAAAGTCACTTTTCTGGTCTTTAAAGTAAAATATCTTAACATAAACCAAGAAGGCTATCTGTAAAGTTAACAAGTTATTCAACCCGTTTAGACTAGAAGGAAATGCGATGCTCATAATTACTCATTCCGGGGAAATTTCTGCAAGTGTTCATCCATACCCCAGGTGGCGATACGTTTTCTCTCTTCATGAGTGACTTATTGAATCATTCACACAACTGATTCATTCCAAGTCAATGATTCATTCGGCCACAGTTTTAAACAGAAATTATATTAAATTATATTTTTTATTATAAGATGTAAAAAAATATTTTGGTCGTATTTTAGTAAGCTATTTTAAATAGAACAATTTCTTCCAGGATGAGACTTAATGAAGGAACCATTCACTGAACCGATTCTCACTGATTCAACCTTGGCGTTTGCTAGGATCTCGACAGCTGTTTCGTTGGTGGAGCAGCAATAGCAGGCAAAATTGTGAGTAAAATGCACGTAAATGCATATTATCTTCTTGTTTTTTGAACTATTGTATAAATTATCACACTTACGAATTCTTTATAGTTTGAATAAGCTTGTTGAATCCAAAACAAGATTGCGAGTTTTTGAATTAACGTTAAGCCAGTATTTATGCAAAATGTAACAAGCTAAGCTAATGTTACATTTGCATTGCTTTGTTAAATGTACTGTTTCATTACCTTTAAATTACATCATGTGCTCTATGTATTCTGTTATACAAAAGGGCATACGATTGTATAGCTATTTTTTTAACTAAATATTTCCTAGATGTAAAAATAACTCTCTTTGTATAATTCAAATCACAACATGACTCATTTTATGAACAATTCCAACCACATAACTTGCCTGTGACCTCTGATAAACAGATAAAGTACTCACCGGTAGAGGCCTTGGCTATTGTTTGGTGGGAATCAGTTTTCAAGACTGCACGCTGTGCCTTCAGTGACTTCTTTTCTTCCGTGTTTCCGAAATAAGGTGAGACAGAACTGAGCCATCAGGTTGGAGGAAAAAGAGGAGGAGGCTCCAGCTGACCGTGAGTCTTGTTTAAACATGGCAGTATGAAACCCCACCCTTGGCCATTCAAGTTCAGCTGAAACCACCTATAGGTGTGTGTGTGTGTGTGTGTGTGTGTGTGTGTGTGTGTGTGTGTGTGTGTGTGTGTGTGTGTGTGTGTGTGTGTGTGTGTGTTTGCTGGGGGAGGAGGCTGATTGTGAGAGTCAGTTCAGGAATGTTAATATTCAATTGACTATTATTATAGTAAGACGATATGTTTTTGGAAGGGAAACAATGAAATATACTTTTCACAGAATGAAAAAATAAAAGGAAGCTACGTAAGTTCTAAAGCTGGTATTTTAATAAGTCTGTGGATGCTGTTATGTAAGATGGTTATCCATTCTGCAAACATTACATTATTTGGCACCAGAGTACACCACTTGCCCGCAGCCTTGTTTTAACTCTGTTAAACGTTAACTGAACTGGCATTTGTTGTGCAGTTTAAGATTTAAAAGTGGGGCTTAGAGTTTTAATGCTGCAATTGTTAAATGCTGAAGGATTTTGAAAAGTGGCTCTCAGGCTGAGAGTTAGTTTGTTGTTGAAGGAGTGACATGTTTTGTTCAATCATAAGCTCTTTGTTATATCAGAAGAGCAGCAAAAACATATGTCTTGGATACTATTTTAAAGCATTTTATAATTCTTTTGCCAATATTTAGCAGTTTTATGAGCTCAAATTAATTATGTATATATACATTTATATATGTATAAATTTTATATATATATAAATATATATATCATTTATATATATATATATATATAGCCCCCCTGAATTATTAGCCTCCCTGTTTATTTTTTCCCCCAATTTCTATTTGACGGAGAAAAATTTTTTCAACGCATTTCTAAACATAATAGTTTTAATAACTCATTTCTAATAACTGATTTATTTCATCTTTGCCATGATGATAGTAAATAATATTTGACTAGATATTTTTCAAGATACTTCTATACAGCTTAAAGTGACATTTAAAGGCTTAACTAGGTTAATTAGGTTAACTAGGCAGGTTAGGGTAATTTGGCAAGTTATTGTAAAACGATAGTTGGTTCTATTGACTCAAAAAAAAAAAAAAGCTTAAAGGGGCTAATAATTTCGTCCTTAAAATGGTTTATTCATTTATTTTATTTTCGGCTTAGTCCCTTTATTAATCTAGGGTCGCCACAGCGGAATGTACCAGCAACTTATCCAGAATAAGTTTTACGCAGCGAATGCCCTTCCAGCTGCAACTCATCACTTGGAAATTAAATTGTAAAAAAATATAAAAATTGCTTTTATTGTAGCTAAAATAAAACAGATAAGACTTTTACCCAGAAGAAAAAATGTTATCAGACATACTGTGAAAAATTCCTTGTTCTGTTAAGCATTATTTGGTAAATACAAAAAAATCAAAGGGGGCTCAATAATTCTAAATTCAAATATATATATGGTCCATTTAAATCAGGGGTGTCAAACTCAATTCCTGAAGGGCCGAAGCCCTGCACAGTTTAGTTCCAACCCTGCTCCAACACACTTATCTGTAGGTTTCAAACAAGCCTGAAGGACTCAATTTGTTTGATCAGGTGTGTTTAATTAGGGTTGGAACTAAACTGTGCAGAGCTGCGGCCCTTTTGGAACTGAGTTTGACACCCCTGATTTAAATGATTAAATTTAAACATAGCAAAAGCAGATCGGTTTGACTGTACCAGGGAAATACCTTACGCTCATGGTTCTAAAACGTATGCCGTCGATATACTGAGAAGTAATCTGCTCTCAAAGCTGCATGTGTGAGAGATGGCTTTGTGGCACTGTGCCACCTTTGAGTGCTCTGAGGCAGGGGAGAGACCAACAGCATCACTCGCAGCTCGTCGTGAAGAGTAACGTTAAGAACACCACAATATGTACACACAAGAGTCTCTGAAAACCTCCAGTAACACCTATCATTTGCTACATTTTTCCAACAATGGCTGGCAGTGTCTTTGTAGAAGTGCTCACACCTCTCACATGTGCAGTACGGACAGAATGTTACATTTTTTATTGGGGCCCCCGATTTTGAAAAGAAACAATAGCGTTAAAATCTTAAGAGTTATAAGCGGAGTTTAATTTCAGAGGCTGCGTCCTCTGAAGGATGCATTCGAAGTGCCCTGCGTCATAAAAAAAGTTCAAAGACTCTTTCAAACGCAGCCTCCAAATGCATCCTTCGTTTCCCAGGTAATGAAGATCACAACCGGTGGATCCTTCGCAGCCTTGCATGTCCCAAGATTCATTGCGTGCTGATAATGGCAGGAAGTTTTTAAAAGAAAACTCTGGATAACATGTATGAATTAGGTTTATTTTACTTGGATATCTAAACACATGTTAAAAAACAAAAACAGTATGAAATGTTTTACTAAAGACTGATTTTATAGAGAGTTTATATGTCTATGTGTACATGTATGGATCAAAGGAAATATATTTCCTGCTTCTGTAAATCTGGTCTTGCCTGCTTAAAATAAGTTTTAAATTTTTTTTTAAAAAGTCATTACAAATTTTATTACTGCTTATTAACAGCAGATGTTAGAGGCTAGATCGTCTCATTTCAAAATGCTCAGTTTAACCTGTGTGGAAGGACTCACCTTTGAAGTCTGCATCCTTCGGAGGATTTCATTTGGCATTTCTGTGTAGACCCAGTAGACGTGTAGGTTTCCTCGTGTTCTGGTTTCCCCCACAAGTCCGAAGGTGACATGGGTAAGCTAAATTGTTTGTAGCGTATGCGAGTATGTCCTGGTCCTCCAGGTTGGGGGTTAAACGTTGGGCTAGATGTTTAGATGTAACGAAACACCAACATTGTGCAACTAAATATTAACTTCGTAATTTATTAACTAAGTAATTTATCTATATATTACTTCAAATGCTGTATTGTTCAGATTTATTAGTGTACTTTTTATTTATTAAATTTAAATTTATTCCTAAATTTGCAAAATGTTAATGTTTGCAGAACAACTTAAAGTATAAGCGTGTACTTTAAATAATTAATGTTTTCATTGACACAAATAATTCTGAAGTCACGTTTTTTTTACTGTCATTGAATTAACAACATGTCCGAACAGTTGCTATTAAGTTTAATATAGACTTGTAGAAAAAGATATACTGTGCAACATGACAACAACATTTTAGCAACTTGAAAATGCAAACTTTTAAAATTGGGTCCTCCAGATGCTCCAGTTTCCCCCAAATAGGGTATATGCTGAGCTAGTGCTGTTCCCATGCTGATAAACTTCCGGTGACCTGTTATTGTGAACTTTTTCCCATTTTTACGGTTCCTTATACAGCATCGATGTTGTAATGTCATTAAAATACATTCCGTTAAATAAACTTTAGCATTTATTTAGTTGCTCAAGCGTAAAACGAGACAAAAAGCTGTTTACTCGCACGCGCCCGTCAGAATCGGCAGGCTAACGCAGAAGCTCCATTGAAAATACTGGGGTAAAATAAATGCTCATATTAAAAAGATATGGCGGGGGAAATGCAATTTAATGCAGTGCTTCTTGTACAATCTGAGACCCACTTTAAATCGGATATCACTCAGCAAGTGGAGATCGCTGATTTTAAAGAAAACAGACCTTAAACGCACCGGATTTTGCATTGGCATTCAATTCGCCGGAAGCGCTTTACCCAGGTTAATGGCAAATTAAAAGTCCTATTAGCATGCTTCGGAATATACCCCATTGGCCGTAGTGTATGTATGTAAATAAATGTATATGGATGTTTTCCAGTACTGGGTTGCAGCTGAAATGGCATCTGCTGTGTAAAATATATGCTGGATAAGTTGGTGGTTCATTCCACTGTGGCAACGCCTAATCAATAAAGGGACTAAGCCGAAGAAAAATAAATGAATAATTGAATCAATTTAAAATATAAAAACAGGACATTATAAAAACTATTAAGTTATGCACTGTTCTCTCCATATTCACATGGGTTTCCTCCGAGTGCTTAGGTTACCACCATAGTCCAAAGTCATGCAGTATAGGTGAACTGGGTAAACCAAATTGGCTGTAGTGTATGTATGTGTGTGTGGAATGAGATAATGTATGGGTGTTTTCCAGTGCTTTCCCATAACCTAAACCATAGCTTGATGCTGCCACCATCATGCTTCACTGTAGGGATGTTATTGTCTTGGTGATTAACAATCTCTAAATTTCTCCAGACATAGAGTTTTATCTTTGGTTTATCAAACCAGATCATTTTATTGAGAGTACTTCAGGTGGCTTTTGACAAACTTCATGTGGACCACTGAGGAGTGGTTCTGGTCGGATTGGTAAAGAGCTGCAGAGAAGGTTGTTCTTCTAAAGGTTTTTCTCTCTCCACAGAGAAATGTTGGAGCTCTTTCAGAGTAGGGATAGGCATAATGGCAAAAATGCTGTCTCTAATTATTTTCCATATTGTAAAATAATGAAATATGTTTCGATACAAGTTTATAATGCTTACAGATTTAAAAGAGTACACCGACAATGAATGACACCGTTGGACACTGACGTTGGCCAGATGTTGGTTTTTGACGTCAACACGATTTTCATTTTCAAACAAAATGCAACGTCCCCACGACATTGGGGTACAACATCAATTTCGGTCATCATCCGGTAAACGTCTGTCAGTTTCTTATCAGTGACATGCATAAACAGTCTCTGGGTCAATGCGTGTAAAGATTTGTACATCTTCTTGGACACTTTTAATGCTTACAAACAGTTTGTTGCAATAACAAATTGCCCATTATCTTGCGGTAGTTCATTATTATGCGAATCACCTCTTTACTTCTATGTACGATTTGATTGGAGATGAATCACAGGACTGTTTTTTTTTAATCCCCCAAAAAATTGTGACTGGAAAGAAAGAAGTGGAGTAAAAGTACTGATACAGCACAAAAAATGTACTCAAGGGATGTTGGATTTTGTTCGGAAATAAAAATTCCAAATTAAAATCGGATTGACAACAGCACCCAATGCCAGGCCATTACAGTGTCCAACGTCCAACCTAAAATCAACCAAATATTAACATCTAAT